ATTCTTTTGTACCAGCATAGCACAGAGATGGTTCACCCTCTTAGTGCCACTGTGTATTATTTTTTAAAACCTTACTGTTGAAGTACTCTATTGAAAACTGTTCAAGATTTCTGTCTCCATCTAARCTACTTGCATCCCTGCAAAATACCAATATCAAATCTATCAAGAACTTATTCTGATGCCTCTTTTTGAGAACATTTGAAGGTGGTGAATGGAATCCGCTATTTGGAATATCATTGTATCAAGTAAAATGGGTTTTTTTAAGTTGTTCTCTCCTGTGGTTGCTGTACTTCTATTTATACTAGTTACTTTTCATATCATTTCCAGTCTGCTGAAGAGAGCTTTTAACAACAAGRGAATTACATATATGTGAGTATAAGAAGTATTCTGCTTTTGCCCAGAGGCCTTGAAGTTACAAGTGCAAGATTAAACAGGCATCGTAAGACTGTTGTGTTTCTCTTGGGAGTAGAGAAGACTCTGCCAAGGAGTCTGTGTCCTGCCCATTCATCAGACCCATTTAGACAAGATGTACAACTTTGCTTTCTCCTTCCTTCTGGGCAGTGATTTTCATTTGCAAGACAGCTGAAGGAGCCTGCACCTCCACTGGCAGCTTCTTGTAATTCCTATACTCCAGGATATGATTAAAATTACTGAAGCTTGTGATACACAGCCAGGAGGTGAGGGAAAGGGGAAAAAGCACTTTGTTTCCTGCCTATTCCCTTATATCCCCATCCAACTAATACTGCTGATCACTTGTCATTGCTGATGGGAAGAATGTCTGAGATGACAAGTCACTGTATTCTGCACTAGGTCCTTAGCTCCATACAGCAGCTGGAAGGGCTGGTACCCACATTGGTACATTGGTGTAATGACAGCAAAGCCCAAACATTTCTTTGGGCAAAGCCCATCTTATATTACTTAAAGAAACATCAGTAAGTAAAATAGCTCACAGATTCATTGAGGAAACAAAAGCCATATGGCAACTTGTCCAGCATTCAAGATGAGGAAACAGCAATCACTGAAACAGTCATACAACCTAAGCACCTGGGGGCAAGTGTTGTTCCTTACTCAGCTGATTGGTGTTTCTTGGAAACATCTGCTCTTGCTTCTGAGTTTCTTTAATGAGAGCATAAACGGCACTGTGTAACTCACCTTTTCTGTAGCATTGTCTCTTGGGCCTCTGTTGTGGGAATCTCATTTTCCTTTTCTCTGCATTTTGTGTTCTGATAWTATTATTTGTTCTGTCTATGATGTSTGTGCTTCTGATGCTTTCTTATTGCTCTCTGGATTTTTTCCTGGGTCTCTGATGGACTTACTGAGAAAGGATTGGTAATACTGATTGCATTTGCCAGGAAGATACTATTAACTCATAGTTTTTGCTTTTACAGTGATCGCTCAATTTACCCAAGTAGCAGAGTCATTCTGGGTTTACTCATAAATTATTGATTCCCATAAAAAAAAAAAAAATAGAAGGCCTGATTTGGACGTAAAGCATGATGTGCTGTGTAATATGGGAATACAAAATTTCTCTTGCTAATTATATCATCYAGTTTGTGGTAGATATCTTGGACTTGTTGTGTCATTTAGAAATTGATGACTCATCTGGCATTGGCTACTGGTATCCTTTTCACYTGGGTGTTGTTCAGGCTGTTTTGCTGCCCCATGTTAATTTTTTAAGGCTGGGTCCTTCAGTCTGTTATTGCTCTTTGTGTGGTTCATCTGTACACATGACAAAAGGACATTTGACTTTCATTAGATATTAACTGGGAATTCTCCATTTATCTTTTAAAAATTCAGACCCATGCTATGAAATATCTGATTTTGGTGGTTCCTGTTRAAGAKTTTGTCTTGAATCATGGCTRTGGGCTTTTTGGGTTTGGGKTTTTTTTTAAGCCTTTTTCCAGCTGAAGTAAACTTATTTTCTATTAAGTTCACTGGGGCAGCTGTGATATTATTTTTTTTATTACAGCAAATATGATTCTAGTTTTAAAAGTGTATTTCAGAATATAGATGATTATTACTGGTTGATGCCAAGGTGTCATATTTCCCCTCCACCATTTTTAATGCTTATTCTTGTCTTAAACAGAGACATTTGGGGATTTTTTTTTTTTTAAATCAAGTTCCTCAGCAGTTAAAATTGCTCAGAGAAGAGGAGATAAATAATTTAAAGACACGAATTTTTCACGTTGTAGGTTGATCTGACAGTAGTATGTTTATAAACGTAGCGTTGAATATTCCAATTTAATCAAATTTATTTTTTGGCTTGCACCTTTTTATTAGATTCACTGTGAAAAGCCATTGTTGTTTGACTTAGGTGAAARTTTGAGTTAATAAAGGTTGAGATTTTGAAGTCTCTTCTTGTTTGTTTTTCTGAAGCAAAGTTAAGTTCAATGTCTTGAAGCATTCCATGTGGAACTGTAGTAGAATTTGCTTTTCACATATCTATCCCTGTGCTTTAATTSTGCATGCACATGTATTTTGTTTTATTTCTGCATTTGTATTTTTTTAATGTACATTTTTTGCATCTCAGTTGCTTTTGCTTTTTTTCAGTTGTAATACGTTCTGCAGAATCTCTGCTGCTCTGTTGCCCAGTGGAGCAAAGGTGGTGAATTGTCCTTCTGTATTTAATCCCTAAGCACCTGTATGAAAGCAGAGTAAGAAAACAAGAAGTTCATGCCTGTTTCCATGCCTATGTCTTGTCAGGGGTGTAAGAGTTACTTCCTATCCCTGGGCATGCTTTTCTGTGTTATTTTCTGTGAAAATTTCTAGTTTTTGTTCTGATGTGCACAATAAATTCTCATTACATTGGAACAGGTTTTTTAAAAAGAATATTTTTATGTTAAAGAACAAAATTCAGAATGTAATAAGTGTACCTGATAGTTAGGTATTAAGTCATAGCCTGGGTAATTTAATTGGAAGTTCATTAYAGCGCAGGCACATTTAATGCTGACTTCAAGTCCCTGTATGTGAGATCACCACCGGCGTAATGGGAAGAGAAAGTTGAGATAAATCTACCATCTAAATAGCAACAGGCACTCATACACTTATTATTATTATCATACACAGCCTGTGCATTCAAAATTATCACCTCGTGGGAAATTATCATCTCCTCTGCATTAATAAAGATGTCAAAGACCAGGGATGGACCTGTGACAGGAAGGGTTCAGGGACCTGCCCTGAACTTGTCTGGTTGCTATTTTAAGCTCAAGTGGCTTGCACAGGTGGGAATGCATGAGGCTGCCAAAAGYCTTGGCCAGCACAGAGCCTGGTCCAGCTTGTGTCAGGGCACCTCATTGCCAGGGAAAAGTCAGGAGAGAAGAAGCAGCAGCAGCAGCAGCTGTGTCGTTTGTCAGGACAGGTGAGCGGAGGTCAATCAGCTGAGTGCCTGAGGCCTTTGTGACACTGCAGATTTTACTGCAGCAAGGTTGTGAGGAGGCATAAAACTTTACTAGAAAGGCTGCATCCRCAAGTAATTTTGGCATTGACGAGCTAAATTGCCTTTTAACCTGTTTGTTGTTTTGCTTGTGCATAGGTGTACCTATACACACGTGAGGTTTTTTCCTCGGACACTTGCCTTTGCTCCAGGATGTTTAGCTGGGGAAACAACAGAACTGTAGTGGCAAAGGTCCTCTAAGCTTGACATGGCTTGCACTAGGGCAGCACCATGAAAGCAACCCCTGAAGATTCTTTTGTTGCAAACCAAGAGATTTAGAGAAGCAGYCAGGTGTGCTGAGAAAAGGGAAAAAAGCTGTTACTGCAACAGAGGGCAGACAGMAGGGCCCTAGGTGTAGGAGAGTCAGACTGTATGAAATTTTACAGCCCAGTATTGATGGTAGCCTTTGTAATCTGGCCTCCATTTTAATGAAACCATAAATGCAAAAAAAAAGGTTTTTTTTTACTTCTTAGTATTTTTCTGGGTACATATAGACCATGGTGAGCTTTAGACAGAAGAACGGGACAAAGAACCTGAGAACAAAGCAAATAGTGACAGGCATTGCCAGCCAAAGTTACCTAATTTTATTTKCCTCATCAAACAAATATGCTATGCATTTAAAACAAAGTAATAACTCTCTCCTTGCAGCAAGCAGTTGTGTCTCAGTAKGACTGAGGAGAGAGRAGGGGATACCTTTCCTTTCCCAGTTGTGTAGTCAGAATCACAAAGTTCAAGCTAGAATGCATTTTACTTTAAATGCATCTCTTTTTAGACCAGATGGACTGTAGAGATGTTATCATTTAAACTCCAGGTCTTCTCAGGCTGTAGTGATGTCTGCTGTCCCTGGGCTTATTTATCTGAATCATTAATAAGTTATTAATAAGTCTCTTTTCATTAGGTTCTGGGAGAAAGGCATAGCTGGGTGCTCCTCAGTAGTTAGGAAAGAAAGGCTGCCATGGAAAAGGAGTCTGAACTGTGTGCAGTAGGCAGAGAAAGCTCTTTGGTCTGTGGATCATACTGAGATTCATTAGTTTTTGAAGAAAAGCTGAAAAATGTAGTTTTGTTACAGGGAGGTGGGGGTGCAGCTGTAAGTCTGCATGCTCGTCAAGCAGCTCAAAATTACAGCTCGTAAATAGATGTACATACTTAACCTCCTAGAAGGGCTGTAGCTCCCCGCTGTAGTACAATAAGAACAGTAATACTTACCATTTAGATTGTGCTTTCTGTTTTCAGAGCTGTGCCAGGGTTAGGTATTTTAATGTAAAGCGGGCGGGTGATTGTGAACAGGATGGTAAGCTTTTMAATTTCGGGGGCAGGGGGGCAGTGTTATTTTACATATTCCCCAGAATAAAAGGAGGTTCACACCCTTCTACTCTGGTAGTGGGGGCACGACGTCTTTCAGMTTTCTTCCAGGAGCGACTCTCGCAGGGGAGCTGATTTCTTCTCGGATCTGACCACCACAGCCCTCAGTAATTATAGCAGCGTCTGAATTCTGAGCTAAAAACAGAAGTGCAGCATGTGCCTATTCCCCATGTGATTCAGAAAGCAGGAAATTGAAAGAGCCTGACTGAGAGGAGAGGGAGCGCAAAGCAATAGACACATCCAATATTTGTCTCAAACCTGCTACGCCTGGGACGCACGAGCTGTCATCTGCCGGCGCGGATTCTGCGTGCACCAGAGCACAGCCTGATTGGGCTGTGGGACCGAAGGCAAGGGGGAGAGGCGGCGGGGACGGAGTTGGGCTCGCCGCACCGAAATGTAAACAGTGGGAAGCGAGAGGGAGCCCCACGCCGCCGAGCTCCGGAGAGCGGGCAGCCGGCTCCGGGCTCCCATGGCTCCGGCAGCGGACCTCGGGCAGTTCTAGCTGTGCCTCGATGAACAAAAGCGGACCGTTCGGAGGATCTCCTGCCTGTGGATATAAATAGGGGACAGTCGGGATGCGCTAGCTTTCTCCGCCGGCGCTGCAGCCTCTCCGTGCTCCGCGCCGCAGCTGGGACAGGGCGATGGACATGAACATGAAGAAGTTCACAGTGCGGCGGTTCTTCTCGGTCTATCTCCGCAAGAAGTCTCGGTCAAAGAGCTCGAGCCTGAGTAGATTTGAGGTAAAATTCGCTTTAACTTTGTTAAATGTAGCAAATACCATTAGGTGCAGGTAACAGAGGTACGAGAGAATGCCTGCATTACTGATGTGATAAGTAGTTAAAGGTGCTCTTTCCCTGGAGGTGGTGATATTCGCACCTAATGTTCTTTGTTTCAGCGTAATTCAATGCTTTTTCTCGGCAGTATTCAATACATTGCATAATCTATTTAGTGTGTTGCCAAGAGTCCTTTTATCAGCCTTGCAGGGGAGGAGGAAACTGGTTCAGGACATCATGAAGTTGTAGGAAATAATTACAGATTCACTTAAATTAGCATAAATGACACCATAGTTTGACATAGCCTCATATTTTAGTCTTTCTCTGCATACATAGCATTCTTTCTTAGTGCTAGATTTCCACATAATTAATGAATTTGCTAGTGCCTTTTATATATATATTTGGTATGTCAGATAGGGATTCTCTTGCTAATTTCTCTATAGGTTCTCATGTTTGGACATATTTTTTGCATTTTTCTTCTCTCCCATGCACTTTTCCTGGTATTTTTGATTTATTTTATTTTAGGATAAGTTGTTCTTTAGGAGCTGGAGGTACAATGTCAAATCAAACCTTTAACAATTTAGCAGTGTGGGGAGATGAAGGCAGTTCAAGTAGGATGTATTAGCAAATTGGAATGTGTGAATGGGTTAGAACCCGGATTTCTGCCTGCCTTCCTCAAACCATTGTTCTTCAGTCTTATGTTTGGAGCTGTGAATAGTCGGCAGGATGTGAGATCAATTGAATAGATGTCAGTTATATTTATATTGTTCACTTTATCCTTGCAGATGATCTGCAACCTCTGCATTAAAATAGAGGTAGATGGGGCCTGATTCCCTTCTGTCTCACATTTATTTTGTGCTGGTGTACTTCAATTGACCTCTGAGGAGTTACTCTGATTTGCACTGGTACTCCCAGGGGAGGGATTAATCTTACGCTGTGTGAATAAATTTTGAAATGTTATTCCCTTAGTGTCCTATTTAAAGCACCAGGTAATTGTTTGAACGTAAAGTTCTTCATGTGTCATTGCTTAAACAGGACACGCTGAAAAGTCACGTTTTTGGCCTGTGTGTTATGTTAGTTTTTATTTTCATTCCAAACGCTTTAAAATCAACTTTGTTGAAAATGTTCGCGTAAGTTACCTAATTTTATTTTCATCATCAAACAAACACACTGTGCATTTAAAACAAGCTAATAACTCCCTCCTTGCAGCAGTTGTGTCTCAGTAGGACTGAGGAGAGAGATGGGGATTCCTTTCCTTTCCTAGTTGTGTAGTCAGAATCACAAAGTTTAAGCTAGAATAAACATTCCTTGCAACACACTAAATTCTCTAAGCTCATGATCCACCAGAGACAACAGGAAGTAGACCTGAAGTTACATGAAGGAGTTCTGAGACAAATGGGTGTCTTCACAGGATGCCTGTTTCAGGACGGAATGTAAGGAGAGGAGTTGATTTGGAGAGAGCAGAGCCCCACCAGACCTCATAACTATTCATTTGACAGTGCCATAATTTGGGAGAAGCAAATTCCACCATTCTAATTATTTAAATCACTGGATAATCTAGTGTGAATGACCAGAACGACTCAGCATTTGTGCCAAGCAATACTCTTGTTTCGTTTACAAAATAAAAAAAAGTCTTTGCAGTCCCTTTGACCATCAGTGTTAGATTTACTGGACTTAGTAAATAATTAGGGAATGAGTTGTATTATAACGATTTTTTCCCCTGATTTTTAAGTAATTTACTTCAAGAAGCAGCTTGATACATATCCTGTCACATATATAGCTTCAGATCATTTTGTCCACTTCCCTCCTTTCTCCCCTGGCTTGTCAGTAATGACCAACTTCATGCAAAGTGACTCAGTATTATCATGTAGTGGAGAATAGGGGCTGTTCCAGCTATGAAGAAAAAATGATTCATAAAATCTGTTCTGCTGTTTTAAGTATGAAAATCATCAGAGATGTTTCTCCTGGGGAGGGGAGTACTACCAAACATGAACCTCCTCTGTGGTTTTCATCCCTGAGTACTTCTGTGTATAAATTTATAATTACATGCTAACAAGTGCTTGTTAGACAAACAGAAAGTGTAAGGAAGCCTGTTGGTAGATGGGTTTTTAGAAGTGAGAATATTCTTCATTCTAATAGGTAGATATTTTTAAGATGTAGTAAAAAGGTATGGGTTGTTTCATCATGGAATGAGTAAAAGTAAAATAAAGGAAAGAAATTTGGAGAAAACAAGTGGCATTGCTTTGCTTAGTGTGCATTAGCTAATGTACCTGGCAGAAATTGTGTTGCACGATGTCATTTGAAATTTGGAAGGGAACTGTTGTGACTAGGTTGTGTGGGATTTTTGTTATGTTGTTCTTTTGGCAAGTTGGGAAGGAGGGTTGAAGGGTTTAAGATAGATACTCATAGGCTCAAACATTTAATATATTGAAAATACCACTACTAGAGTAGATTCAAAAATAATACAATATCAGTTATTAATATAATGATTAATTACTTTTTCTGCTGTGGTATCCTACACTTTAAATTAATTTGTAATGAGCTTCATAGCTTACAGAGCCAGTATATCTATGCAGAAAAGAGCTTAGCAGATCACAGCTTGTAACTTGACCTTTACTTAATTGTTTCATATGCCAATGTCATTGCTACACCTGAAAAAACAAAGATCCTCACCTTGTGTAGATAGTTGAGTTTCACACTTTGGCCTGCTAAAAGAGGCAGAGTACACTCTGGTAAATGAGATGTTATTAGGGTTTCATTTCATCTTTCTTAAAATGCACACCCTTTTTATTCTTCTGGAAAGACTTGGCTGGAATTTGAATTTATTCGGCTACAGTTTAGGGGTTTGAGTTTATATTATTTTTCAGTATGGCCTGCATTGCCCTTCATTTATAAGGTATCTAGTGATGTAATTTTATTGAATATGCAGAGCCAAGTTTTGCCCTTCTGCATGCAGAGTTCTGATTGAAGTCAGCTGAAAATCCAGCAAAGTCAATGGGAACTGCATGTGTGCATCTGAGAAAGGGCTTTGTGTATGGTTCTTGCTGAGTGTTGATGAATGTTAATGCGAAGCCATCAGGATAAAGTACACACAGTGTGGGTCTGCTAAAGGTTTTGAGACCCAGTGGAATGCATCTCATGGCAGTGAGCAATATAATTTGATCTATAAATCAAAATTTAAATATGCCATTTGAATAAACTAAGAAATACCTAAGCATGAAAAGAATTTGATAATATTTATTCCAATGATGCAGGAGTCTTTTTTTTTTTTTCTTTTGAGAAAATGACCAATTAAAACATTGCCTTTTATTAATTTTGGAGACGTTTCCGACTTTTGCATTCATGATCTATTTTTAATTCATTACTCTTGCTCTTTAATTCTTCTAGTTCTTGCTAAGTCTTACTTAAAATGATGAATCCAAACTATGTTTGATATATGTATGGGGCTTAGAGCCTATCAGGGTTCTTGCAAATTGATTCAGAATTAATTTGGAGTTTGCTGTGCCTTGGCATGGTCAATTTGAGAGGCAGGATCTCCTGTGGATGATTCAAACTTGGGTTCTGCTTTGGTTCCAGCACTGGCACATAGGAAATGGGAGCGAGCCTATGCAGGTTTCTAAGTAGCAGTGCAGAAGAACTGGCACTGGCTTTATAACACTGTGTTATGAGAGATTTTTGGTTCTAATCTTAGGCTCTGATTCTGATTTCCTACAAGCTAAAGTTACAGTAACCTTAGGAAAGAGCCCATAAAATACTGAGGCAGACTGCTTCTTTTCCACAGTGGGCTAGAGCAATGCTTTGCTTGTGAATTCTTCTGCACTTGTATAAAGAACAGTTCTGTTCCTTACAGCAGTATGTCCTTTTTGCTGCCTTTTTTTTTAAAATTGAAATATCTTTTTTTTTTTTTTTTTTTTTTTTTAACATTTTTATAGTTACTTGCTTGCTAGAGGAATAGAGTCATTCTGTCAAAGGTTAGCCAGAATAAAGGCAAGTTAAAGAAAGAAGATGGGGATTATCAGCCCAAGAACATCTCTTCAAGGTGCAAGTCCTGAGGCAGCTTTAGTTTTGGTTTTTTTTTTTTTTTCCCTGTGGTGATGATCACCTTTGTGACGTGTGTTCTTGTTACAGMAGAAGTTACCAACACTACTGTAGTGTCTTAACTTCTCCCAGCTGCAGGCAAGGCTTTTATGAGGAAATGCTGCAATTCTTGTGATCTTCCACAGCTTGCTGGGGGGAAGGGAGTCAGGGAGGGGAGAGAGAGTGGGAGCAGGAGGAGTGTGTAGTCYCTCACATAGGTCACTTGAGGAGCCAGGAAATCCATTTTTTCAGGCTCATTTTGACAACTTGCTGTGTCATTACAGATGGTTCAGACTTTTGTGCTTTCCTTTTCCCACTTGAAAAAAGAAAAATTGCTATAAATATTCAAGTCCTTTGATACTTTTCTACCTATTTACATTGGGTTTGGGGGCAATGCTCATATGTGTACACATTCATAATAAAGGAATTGCTCCCAATTCCCCAACTGCTTCTGACTTTATCCCAGATAAAGTCTGATCTGCCTCAGGCTTGATGTGTGCTCCTTCCCACAAGCCTCAAATTAACTGCAGAGCTACAGAGAGGGAAAATAAAGCAGGTGAATGTAGGGATAGCTTGTACATGGGAAAACCACAGAAAATTGKGACTGGGAGGCATCTAAAAACCCTTAATCTGGACTCCTCTTCCTCCTTGGGCAGCATCAGTTATATCTGAACTCTTCCAGCAAAGATTTTTTCCTAATTAGTGTATTAAATGCCTCCAGTGGTAAATGCCCATAACCTCTGTATGTGGTGTATTTTGCAACACTCTCCTTAGCATCTAAGGGTTTTCCTAGTAACTGAAACAAGTTTTCATAAGGCACTTCAAGCCTGTGTCTTCTTGTCCTGCCCACTGGAACTGTGGAAAAGAGATTGTTTCCTTTTCTTTGCAGT